TCTTGCTTAATAAACCAATATGGGGGCTGATGATTTCACTCATTTCAATCGAATTATTTCAATTAGATTTGTTTTCATTTGTTACACATTTAGAAACCCACTACTTTACAAAAAAAGTCACAATCAGATTATGATAACATTAACTTTATTAACTGGATTTAGTGGACAATATAAAAGCTTACCATTTTTGTACACCTGCAAGCATTATGCCACTTCAAAAGGTAAAACGTTAGAATACTTATTTACTAGGGGTGCAACGATATTCGTATCGATATTGAACCGTTCGATACAGTGCTTTCGGTTCGGTATGCACATGTATCGAACAATACAACATTTGTAATTTATTTTATCAACTTTCCTTCTGACGATGCTGTCTGTGTTGAGCGCTCAGTGAATCTGCGTTCGACTACTCCGCCTAGGCTGCACTGTCGAGCACTGAGCGCTCAACACAGACAGCATCGTCAGAAGGAAGAGCGCAGGGCACCTCCCCCACCCTCATTCAGATGTGGTGTTTGGAATTATTTTGGTTTTCATGTGACGTATGACCCTGAAGGTAAGCGAGTCATGGACTAAAGTAAAACAGTATGTTGGATGTGCCACACAATGCTCAATTACATGGGTGGGAACTAGTGTGTTAGCGCAGTTAGCTCGTGTTGGCCGTCTAGCCCCATGCACGGGGCGATCGGCGGTAGCTCGTTAACGGAGATTTGCCGTGTTGTAGCGTTAAGGTCATTTCAACGAGATTAACCTGAAAGCACTGGGAACACAACGAATATGACTGCACATTTACGCCGACATCATCCTAGTGCAAAGACAAAAACAACAAGCATGCTACTAACTTTAGCCGAGTCATTTAGACAGCCGTTAGCACATGATTCTCCTTATGCTGCTGAGAATATAGCCCAGAAGAAGCGGATAGTATAGCTTTTATTTTGGAAAGAGACATTTCTCTGTAATAAACTCTCTTTTCCAAAGCTGTCAAAATAAAAAACACGCACAAGGGTTAGGGTTAAATTTAAAAACTGTACTTTTGAGTTAAAATATATATATTTAAAATTTTAATAAATGACAAATTAAAAAGGCATGAACATTTTTTTGTATCGAAAAAATATCGAACCGTGACACCAAAGTATCGAACCGAACCGTGAATTTTGTGTATCGTTGCACCCCTATTATTTACATACGTAATGTGTTGGAACCAAAGCTTCCACAACTAAAAACAGATGCAAAATTTGCTCAATATATCAAAAAAATGTTGCGTGACCCATGGGTCAACATTTTTCCTCCAAGTGGTGTGAAACAGTGTGATCGGCTTTGAGATGTGTTTTCTCACCTTTAGTGGTGTGTCAGAGGTATCACAGTGTCAGGGGTGATGCGTATATATAAAATTCAAATAAGAACACACGTCATTATCTATATAACCCAAATTAAACCAAAATGAAGAAGCATTGTGTGCAAAACTAATAACAGCCTGTGATCCAATAACTTGTAGAACCACCTTTAGCAGCAATAACTTGAAGCAATAGTTTTCTGTATGACTTTATTAGTGTTTCACATCATTGTGGAGGAATTTTGGCCCACTCTTCTTCACAGCGTTGCTTCAGTCCACTCCTGAGGTCCCACCACAGCGTTTCAGTCAGTTGCGTTCTGGACTTTGAGTCATTGCAACACCTTCTGTTGCAGATTTTCTGCTTTGCTTGGGATAATTTTACTATTGCATGACCCAGTTTTAAATAAATAACGACGCTATAAAACATGCTGTAATATGTCACGTCTTGTTGTATTTCAGCTAAGGACAAGATGATCGTTTATTATGTTTTGATATGGCAACCATTAATTAATTAAAAGAGGATCTACTTTCTTTTTTTACTTTTTACATGATTGTATAAGATTATTTCTGCACAACTGCACTTTACTCTGACCTAATCAGCCACCCTTGGGATTCCTTGTATGGGTGCAGTATGTTCTGTTCTTGTACCTGGAAGCTTGACATGATTTTATTGGAGGATTTCATGTTTCGTGTAATATATCGGAGTTGGTTTTCCCCTCAGTTTGCTCACTCTCACGCTTCACGTTAAGCCTTTCTCTCCATGTTTCTATCACAGAGAATCACAGTGGGTTGAAAGTCATTCTGAATGAAACTGCCCCACAAAAAGGGAACAGGTCACTTCACAGAGGAATTTTAGAAACATCACTTTGTAATGATTCATTTTGGGTACTGCTCATCTCCTCATGAAAGTACCACCACTGACACAAAAACTCCAATTTAAAAACATTTTTGTGTGCGATTCATTTCCCTGCAGAGTTCTCACACGAGGCTAATGGAAACATCTGTTTGCCTCTGTGTTATTTGCCGATGATGTCGTCCTTTGGGCCACATCTGCAATCTCTGGTGTACACTTAAGAAGTTTACTGCTGTGTGTGAAGTCAGAATCACATTCACATAATCCGCTGTAACTATTATTGCCACAGTGAGGTAAAGAATAAACAAAGGCGGCAGCTGTGACCTGTTTGTTATTAGTTTGCGGCAGGAGTTCATCATCTTCAGTTTGACATGTGGCTTTCCTCTGGCTGTCTTGGCTAACAACAGATCTTTAAAGTATTTTATGTAAAATCATAAACTGTTGGAGCTTATTGGCTCTTACATTATAGCACTGGTGTGTCAGGCCAAGTTGAAGTGCTTCAGGGGCTCCGCTTAGCCCTGACATAAAGCTGAAGCAAAATGCCCCGTCATGTTTCTGAGGTGCAGCACGTTTGGCAGCTGGGCCACAGTGTGCACTGGCTTTCTAATTCAGCACTTGTTTTGTAGACGTATCAGTGCAATCACGCAGTCGACTGAGAAAAAAGCCATTTGGAGTTTCACATTTTTTAGGACTCATTGTGATTGAAGCGTATGTATTTAGAGCGCTATGTGTACTCACATCAAATCGGTATATTTAAAAAAAACAACCACAAAAACAAATCTCGATGTTGAGGTTTTTCAATCTGTGGAAAATTACAGAGATATTTATGTCCATGTGATGAGAATGTTTTGTTTAGCCATCGTTTGAGTCACTGAATCATTCCCTAATCTACTTTTTTTTATTTCAAGCACTTACAGTTATTACAAGTGATTAAACTGTTTATTAGCTGTAATCTGCCACTTCGAAACCTGTTCGACAGATGGGCTTTTAAGGAGCAAGCATCTAAAAATCTCCGTCACATAAACGTGATGGTTTTGTCTTAGAAAGGATTTGTTTTCATTTGTTTATGAGAGAAGTAAACCAAATTTCTAATGCCAATCTTATAAAGTCTGCGGTCGGGTAGTGTTTCATTATTTTTTCCTCTTTCAGCTCAGACTGTGAGGCAGGCACTGAGAAAAAATATTTATCTGAGTAGGCTCTAGGATAAAGTTTGATTTGCCAATTAAACAAATAAGCCAGGACCTATAAATTCTGAATACTGCTGATGAAAAATCCATTTTACTTTGCTATTCTGGCAGAAAATAATGAGTTTGATGGCAGCCTTTAAGCTCTGCAGAGAACCATGTAAGGATATTTCAGTCTGAGAGGAACTGATTGGAAGCACCTGGTGGTAAGTGTGTCAGACAGGCAGGTTGTCAGACTGTTCTGTTCTCATGGATGGACATGCCTTTTCTGAATAAATGCAACATGTGTATGTTATTCAATGAAAGTATAGGAGCTCCAGCTTGGGTCTCATTTCTAATGTCTCTAGACAAAGCCTCAGTCACACAGGCCCAGAGAAAGGAGGTCCCCAGTCATTAGAGAACAACATGTATTTCCCATCCGACTGGCGAGTGGTTGCTCGCTATCACTCGGTGAAATCAGCAATAATTAGGGTGCTACATCAACTGCAATTAAATTTATATAGCACATTTCATTACATGTAAACTCAGTGTGCTTACCACAGATGATAAAAACATAACAACCTGCGTAGGTTACCTTACTGCTTTATGGCAGTGAACAGCACTGGTTAGCAGTTGTTGCTGTTTCAAAGAACAGGACCGCAATAACTGAAAGCACACTCACAACACTTAGATCTATTTCTGGGAACATTTAAAAGATCTGCGCCTGATGACCTGAGAGGTTTAACTGGTTGTAGATAATGAGTGAGAGATGTACTCGTGAACATTCAACACTCGCCATTTGCAGCGGAACTTGAAAAAGTGCATCACAAACTGGAAACAGAGAATGTTTGCCTTCAAAATAAAAGTTTTTCCCTTAACGATAGCAACTTTTAAGAGTCTGTGTTTTTGGTTTGTGCCCTACTTTTCACAATCTCACACAGTTAGCAGTCGAGTCGGTGTCTTCTATGCAAACTGCCAGGGATTACAACAATTTACGATTGAGCAACCGAAGCAGTTGCAAGGAGGTTTTCGGTATAGCACTGTATACCTCTTTGCAACCAATTTCAAGATAATGATTCCAGCAACCATTCTCCAACTAGTTGCAAATTATGCAACATTTCTTAGATGCCAGCGGTTGCCAGCACGTCTCCAGGACATCCAGTACATCCTGGAGACCTGCTTTGGAGGCAATTTCTATCCTTTAAACTGGATAGAAATTGCCTGCCTACTGCTTTAAAAACACATGCATATATGATTATTGTTTACAACAATGGAAACTGCATTCAAGTTGTTTTACTGTCTGGAGAATCTAAGCATTTAGATCAAATTGTAATGAGCGATTAAACCATCCTAACGTAAGTTTACATGCTTAACATCATGGCAAACTGGCAATAATAACACCGATTGCTTGCTGCTAATGAGAGCTGAACGTTTAAAAACTTTTACAGTATAAAGTTTATCATCAGTATTATTTCATAAGCAATTTGTCTAATGAATAAAACCTGAAACAAAAGCTGATACAACTGCATAAAAATGGTAGGACGTTGTAGAAAATGTGAATAAAATCAGGAAGCAATCATCTGCAAATCACTAAGACACTAAGTGTGTGTGTGTGTGTGTGTGTGTGTGTGTGTGTGCGTGTGCGTGCTTTAAGGTGCTGATTCCTGGAAGACACCACAGACAAGATGACCAGAGAGCCTGCACTTCAAAGCAGGGGATGAAGTGTTTTACATACGAACTAGCAGAGGACTCATAAAACCACAGCACCCTGCAGTGCGTTACTCAGACTGCTCTGCTCGTTTACTTCATAAGGCAGAGCTGCCTGACTGCATATGCTGATTAATGCCCCACGACGACTCTGCGAGCACATCAAAAAGGTCAGCTTTGTTTAAAATACTTCATGTGAACCCTTTCAGCGTAATCCATCATTGAAATGGTATGATGGTATATTGGGACCACTGTATATTCTGAGAGAAAAACTCCTTCATTTCCAAAGTAAGGCTGTAAATTATTTAAAAACAAAAAAGCCTCTGTGTATTTTCATCACTGAAAGAATATAAAAGGTAGCAACAGTATCCTCACCTGTTGCCTTTTGAATTCCTGTTTTCAAGCCAGTCTTTCTGAATTTGTCCATTGCCATGTTGCTATTGCTCGGTTCCATAGACAGTATGGCAACAATACACAGAGATACATGCGAAATCGTGCTATATAACATATAAACAAAACACTACAATTTCACTCACTTCACTGTCACCTCTACAGTCAAGAGACTCCAGTAGAGGTAAGGCCCAGCAGATAGCTGTATGTTGGGCCTACGAGTGACCACACCCTTGTCAATCAAATCTCAAAAAGTTGATTCAGTTCATCTGGATGTAGCATTTTCAGTGGGAGAAACATTTCATCACTCATAGAAGTGCTGAAGAAGTCTCAGAGACTTAAAACGCTATGTTCAGATGAAGAGAATCAAATTTTTGGGATTTCTTTATCTGGATGATTGCACATGCATCAAGACTTGTCAAAGTTGCTGCAACCTTTACTTTTAGGTTTGACACTGACTAGATGATCAGTGTACTGTATTTGTAGTCTAGGCATATATATATGTGTGCCCTCTCCTCAACGGGTAGGCTGATCTGAAGGAAACTGCAAGAACATTGTGACACATCATTAACCTATACGTTTAAAAAAAACATTTTTGTATATATCATCGTACCCCTGCCTATGTGTTTGTTTCACGTCTCACTTTCATCATGCACCGCCTGTACATAACTTACATTTTTTTTATCCGCGATAGAATTTTGTTCGAATCACCACTAAATAGAAAATGAAAAACTTAAAAATTAAGGCTCTAAGTATCACAGACATATTGCTTAAATGTACTAAATCAAATTCAAATTTTATTTGTCACGTACACAGTCATACACAGTACGATATGCAGTGAAATGCTTAGACAACTGCTCGTGACCTAAAGAAAAAAAACGAAAAGGCTATGAACAAGATAGGAAATAAATATGAAAATTAAAAAGGGTAAATTTAACTAGGAAGGAATAAAATAAAATATAAAAATTAAAGTTAAAAATAAAATAACTGTACAACAAAATACACAATACACAGTATAGAACTATATAAGAATGTATGAAGAAATATAAATATATATATACACAATAACAGCAGCTGTACAAGTATTAACTGGAAATGAAGAATATAATGACCAGTGTTGTGCAATCCACATTATTTAGTGTCTTGTGCAGTGCAAATATGCTTAAAGTGATGAAGTGAAAACAATGTCCAGAATGTCCAGTGTGTGTGTAAGAACTATATGTGTGGGTCAGTACTATGTGGTGGTGTGATTGAGAGACCGTATCGCCTGCGGGAAGAAGCTCCTCCTCAGTCTCTCTGTGTTGGTCTTCAGGGAGCGGAATCGCTTTCCTGACCTCAACAGAGAGAACAGTCTGTTGTTGGGATGGCTATGTCCTTTTATTAGGCCTTTAAATGTGTCTTCTTAAATGACAGGTTATAGACTAGGTTTTTACCAGTGGTAATAAAAAGAAAACCATTGTTTCACACGGATCTTTTTTTTTTTTTATTGCTTGCTTTGGGAGACAGCCTGAAGTGCCCTTTGAAGGAACAGTTTTCAGCATGTCCATGTTAACTTAATCTTTCATTCCTTTCTCACAAATGTATGACTTCTCAGATAGCAAATGAGTGATAGGAGATTTATTTTTTCTTTGTAAATTTCTCATTTTAAGCTATGTGTTTTTCTCAGGTTTTTGCTCCATCCTTCAGGGCTCTACAGGAATTCTTTTAAACTACAATGGCAAACTACAATGACCCTGATATGCAGCCCTATAAAAGTCTTCATTAGACCACAAACAGGTACTTACTAGTGTTTGTCAGTTGGATGACCCGGTTCCATAAATACCTGAAGAACATGTTTTAATTAATTTACAGTGAGCACACATCTTTATGTTGTAGTATGATTAGTACAGTTAGCTCCCCCCCCCCCCATTTAATATGTAAGTCCTGATTCCTTTAACACCATCACATAGACTAAGAAAAAATTATATTAAAAAAACCAAGCTGACGTGTAGAGACAAAGGAGAGCAATGACGACATCCATGTTCCATATTGCTGTTAACTTATTCCAGTATGTGTAGACTCGCATCGCTCAACATTTCCACTGCTATCTCCCAGGAGAAAAGCTGTTGTGTTACTCAGCCATCAGCGTGCTGTTGTCATGGACTGACTGGCCCAACGCTTCAACAACAGCCTTTCTGGAGGTTTACTCAGATTGTAAAGGAGTCAGCAATCCAGCCCAGCCCCACCCTACTGGAGCCCACCATGTCTTTGATGGCAGAAAAACAGCCATCAAAGCAGAAAAACCACATTATCTTTCTCAGGCTTCCCTTCCAAGCTAGCGAGAGAGAGAGAGAGACTGTCTGAAAAGGGGGGAAAAGGGCTGGGTTGTTACTGAAAGCAGAAATTAAAGAAGATACTGGAGGTAAGGTATCAGTGCTAGGACAGCCATCTATTTTTTTTGTTGTATTTTTGGGGTTTTTTTTTATTTGGTTTGTTGTGGAAACAGTAATCCAGATAGCTGTACCCCATGTAACATTTTAGCTTGTTAATGAAAAACAGCTTTTTTGTCCTGTTGGGAATGGAGAGTTGATGTCACCTGGGTTTATCTGCTTTCAGCGGACAGTCTGGGTCTTACCTAGTTTGATTCAGAAACTGTTGTTGTTGAAAAGTACCTTCGGTGAAGTTTTGCTGAGTAACTAGAGCACAGTTATGGACAATATGAGTATTTACTCATATTGTTGAGCAATTAGCAATAATGTCACTCTTACTATGTGTGGTTATTGACAGTTTACACCAATGAAAATGTCAGAAAATCACGCGAGCAGTTCCTCTGACTTTTATAATTCTTCTTTGTTAAACTCATGAAAGTGTAAAAGTGGCGCATTATTGTGCTAAGCTAAGCTACTTGGAAAGCACGCTTTTCTCATCGGGTTTCTCTGTCACTGATTCCAGCTTTGTGGGATATTTTCATAGGTGATTATATCAAGTTGTGGTCGCAACTAATGAAACACTCATGATAAAAGTGAAGTAACTGCAAACGTTTTTGCCTCAACACTCACACGTCTTTGAAAAAGTGAAATGATTCATTGACGTGTCTATAGATCAAGAACCATATATTCAGATTCATGAAGTTATGTTTTCCAGACTTTCGGTGAGGAAAAAAAAATCGTAACACAAATGCAAACCCCTGTTGAAGACTTTTTTAATTTTACAGTATTATGCAAAAGTTTTAAAGTGGTCTTGAGAGATAGTTCCAGATCTTTCAGTGTTTGTTGGGTTTTTTTGGACATTGGTTGCTTTATCACATATCCCAAATTTTTAGCCCAGCTCATTACCTGATCATTTTCAGAAGAACATTGTTTGTTAAGTAACTTAAAACTGACCTATGAATGCTTCAAGCACTACAAAAAGGCATTTAACTCGAGCAGTATTGCATTAACTTTTTTTAGGTACTTTGTTAGCCTGTTCCATAAAGACATATTGCTAACATTTCTTTAACTGAATCTGCAAAAGTTTGACGGATATAAAATAGTATAGTGTGAACTTTTGACAGTGTACCATCTATTCTTATATAAATGGTAAGTTCAGAACAACAGTCTGATGGAAATCACATTAATACCAGTCTGAAATCTCTCTAATATTGCCTCTCAAATCCCTTTCACGCACTTTCAATCCAAAGATTTTCCAATTCAAATTTAGTTGGGGCTAAAACATAGAGTCTTTGCCCAGTTGCACAATATTTTGCAAAATGGTGCATGCACAAATTGAGAAAATGTGTTCTTTAAATTATCTGTGAAAATAAACTGAGTGCACTCAGGAGCGATTTGTGAGCTTGTAACATTGGTGGAGAAGTCCACCAATATTTGCGGTTCCTACTTTGGCTCCGTTTAAGGAGAAATTTGAAAGAAGTAGCACAGAGTAAAACAAAATGCGTGACAAATGTGGCTCCGCACAAGAAAACACTTTACATATTTCTAATGAAAGACGATCTGCATTTGATCAGTGTTAAGACTTGATAGTCAGATATATCACAAACACATGCTACTCTAGAAGGCATATGTTCACTTCAATATATGCAAAGAGCTTCAGCTTGACATCCTCACTGAGCGATCAGAGCAGTTTGTTAACTTTAATAAAAACCTTGGAAAATACAGAGCAGAGAGACATCAGGGGTGTTGGCTCTACATAGTTCAGAGTTTTCTCATTTGAAGTTAAGCTGAACTTTGTTCTCTAACTTTATGACTAAACTGGAGTATTTATCTTCATTAACACCAACTACATTTTAATTAGGGACCTCATCTAATATTTATTCTGTAATAATCATTAATTAATATTTAGATCCATCAGTTAGATGTCTTAAAACTACTTGTCAGTCTGTTTTTTTCCACACTAGATGCAAATGGTGTATGGCGTGTATCTGTGTACAAGAGAATCAAATCAAAAGAATCAGAATCAAAAGAGCAAGCTCACGGACACATGCACACTCTATTCCTGACAACGAAGCTAGTTAATAATATAATTTGGAACGTTTGCTGTTTCATTAAGATGCTTGCTGTTGTCACCAATAACCACAAGTAAATCAACCAACAAAGAAAGCAAAATAAAGCTGTAACTGTAAACAGTTACAGTGTTCATGTTAAACATGGTGAAAGTATGTGAAAGATCACTGTGAGGGAAAACCTCAGGCTTCATATTGCCCTAAAAGCTTGACTTCCATTGTTTTTTTCTACTCTCAAGCCAAGTTAACATCAGGCCGCCACAGATGAACTTATATGGTATTATCAAA